TTTTTTCTGTAGATATCTATTTAAGAGACTACAGATCTTAACTTTTCCTTGTAAATATATATACAAAGAAAAGTTAAGATCTGTAGTCTCTTAAATAGATATCTACAGAAATTATGGGATTTGACACCTATCATGATTCTAACAATTTTCTTTTGCAATGTAAATACCTTTTTACTCTTAGATGAATTACCCCAGAAAATTATTACATACTTCATTAAAGAGTGAAAGTAAACAAAATAGTTTGATTTGAGAGTGTCACTGTTACTAATATGTAACATGAATCTAACTGCATAGCATGTTCTGCTTAGCTTTGGAATCAACTGATTGATATGGTTTTTCCAGTTTAAATGATTATCAATTTGCAAGCCAAGGAATTTGTGTTTGCTCCCTCTTCTATATATTTATCATTATATCCTATGTTTAATGGATATTATGGTGAGTTTTGTGTTGTAAATTTTATTACATTTGTTTTTTCTAGGTTCAGGGACAGCTTGTTTGCAGAAAATCATTTACTTCTTTGCGAAAGAACCTTGCTTGATAACATGCAGAAATCATCTAAATTTTTACCATAAATTATAACACTAGTGTCATCTGCAGATATTATAGGTATTGCTGAGGTCCTTAGTGTAGGAGGGAGGTCGTTTATATAAATTATGAAAAGCAAATGCCCTAAAATTGACCCCTGTGGAACTCCATGTTTTATTATTCTCCAGTTTGAGTAGGTACTTTGAATTGAATTTGATGATTTAATTTCAATCTTTTGTTTTCTATCTGTTAGGTAGTATCTGAACCAACTTAACATTGTTCCTTGAATGCCAAAGAAATGTAATTTAGTTAATAAAATTTCATGATTTACACAGTCAAAAGCCTTTGCCAAGTCACAGAATAATCCACCAACATGCATTTTTTATTAATAGATTTCAACACACTGTTAACTTAAAGGCTGCATTTTCAATGGAAATTCCTTTCCTAAAGCCAAACTGTTCTCGGACTAGTATATTGTTATTCTGGAAATAATAGCTTAACCTGTTGTGCATAACTTTTTCAAGTACTTTAGAGGAAGTAGTTAGCAGTGAAATTGGCCTGTAGTTTGACATACTAGTCTTGTCCCCTTTTTTATATAGTGGTCTTACTACTGAAATCTTAAGACGATCAGGAAAGATTCCTGTGGATAGTGAGTGATTACAGATGTGAGTTAATGAGCTACTGATTAGAGATGCACAAACTTTTAAAATTTTACTTGTTATTCCATCATAACCTGAAGAGTTTTTTGTTTTGAGGGAATGTATTATACTTTTTATTTCAGTTTCAGTGGTTGGAATCGTTTTAATACTGGAGAATTTTCTTGGAAATGCCTCTGTTGAAAAGGAAATGGCATTATCTCTCACTTCTTGATGCAAGTTTAGATTTTCTGTAATTGTTAGAAAAAAGTATTGAAGGAATCCGCAATTTCTTCTGGGTCCTTAACTTTTTCGTCGTTTATAAGGGGAGATGGTGTTTTTACCTGATTATTAGATTTTGCTATAAGCCTACAATAATGCTGCCTTTTAGCCTCTTTTATAACTCTACTCAGGATTTTGCAATACCTTATGTAGGTAGGGATGTAGGGATTATTACTGCTCCTGCTATCTACATACAGACGCATTTTATGTTTACAAGATATTTTTATTCCTTGTGTAATCCAGTGGTTTTTTATTCTACTTACACCTTTATTCTGAATAGGAAAACTGGCTTCAAAAATATTTAGAAAAATATATAAGAAAAGAGTTAAATTTATAATTTGTATCCTTATTTTTGAAAACAGGTNATGACTGCTTTCATTTAATATGTTTATGTCTTCACAGATTATAAACTCAGACTTTGGATTGTACAGATATTTTAAAGTTGCATCTAGTCTCCTTAGAAATTCTTTAACCTCTCCTGAAGGGGCTGTGTACAAGTTTAATATAATTAGGTGAGATGTTTTAGTTACTAGCTGTGTTGCACAGATTTCAAAGTCTTGCTCCTTACAATGATGAGAAATATCAATTTTACTTAAATGGAGATCTGTCTTAACAAAAATACACACTCCCCCCCCTCTGTAGGCTCTTTCAGCAAAAACTTGAGCCCAACAGGTAACCATTCATTGAGAGGAGCGGCAATTCCTGTACAACCATGTGATGTTCACTTAAACATAATATGTGAGTGTTTATGTTGTCTATTTCAAAAGAGTGTAGTAATTCATCAGTTTTGCTTCTGAAGCCTCTGATATTTTGGTGAAAGATATTTATTGAATTTAATGTTTCTGCATTTTGTCTGTGAATTTCCAAGACTGCTGGACTGCATTTAATATATGACAGGCATCTTGGTGCTTTTGAATTTAATCTAAAAAAAGGAGACACCCTAGCATTGGTTATAACAGGAATACCACTTATACCTGACACATGACCACCAACAACCCTCTCAGCAATAAGCTGCGTGAGCCTCTTCTTGCCTCGAGAGCTCAGGTGCAGGCCATGCATTGTGTAATCTTCCCTCGCAATTGATGATGTGTTAGTGACACCAATGTGATACACGTCATGACCCATCAGGGCCCGATCAACCCTTGGATTAATGCCCCTAACCTTCCCATTCATTTACGGCTTGTCATGCCCCTCAGAGAGGCTGACAAATCCCACATTGGTGTTTGATGTCCTCTCTCCAATGAAGTTGAGATCATTTTCAATTGAATAATGATAGTTTCTATCCAGGCAATTTCCTGGCCCTCCCACTATAATAATATGATCTTGCTTGGTAAGGCCTTTACCAAGCTTCCCTATATCCTCAACAACCTTTGCAAGAGGAGCATTTGGTTTAAAAATGCTACATATGTTAAAGTAGTTATTGGTTGTTCTAGGTGTTGTCAGTCTCCAAGGTTGTGCTGTTAAGTGTATTGCAGACAACACATCCAGCTTCATCTGTGTAGAATCTTGGAGTGGTCCCCGATCTGTTGTGGCTGCAGCCTTGGAAATACTCTGCTTTCTGTAATGGCATTCAAATGCATGGATGATTTCCAAATATAAAGGCTGGTCTAGTTAGCTGGGAGAAATAGAATTTTGATGTCTTCAGATGAGTAGCGCACTGATAAAAGCAATATTTTGCAATTTGTAGCTCCAAGTTTTATAACCAGTTGTGTGAGGTAATATTGAAATAGTTTGGTGGTCATCCAAGAATATGTATGAGTTTCATATTTAGTAGGTTGTCACTTGACATTATTGATGCAATGTGGACTTCTATATTTTCCAGTTACTAGAGTTCTAGTTTATCACTACCATCTTCATTGCTTGCAAGGAGTGCAGTAACTTGGTGTTAAATTTTTTTACCACAATGGCAAAAGGGTCCTTGAAAAGTGAGGGTTTTGCTAGGTTATAGACTGAATAAGAGACCTGCCTCATCAGCATTATGTCACAGAGGTCATAACCATCAATTTATTGCAACAGTTGATAATTTTTCCAGTCTTCTGCAGTTTCTGAATCAATCTTCCTGTTCTTACCTGGTAGGTTTCAAAAATCAGTGGTGTGTCTCCTCTTAAATGTGTGGATCCAACCATTGGAAGCTGAAAAGTTTGCTATTTCCATGTAAGCAGAGATGTGTAAGCCCTTCTGCTTGAAGTGTGTGCCATCTATGGAAGCATTACCCTCATGTGTGTGCAGAACTATTCAGGAGGTGCAGATTCCAGTTCCTCCACTGGCAAACATTTCAGTGACTGCCACTGCTTGGAGGAAGGACTGCACTCTCAGTTTCTTCAACATTCTTCACAATAAGGTTTAGTGTGAGCACTGAAAATCTCTGCAATGAAGCCTGTTCAACATGTGTTTCAATATGTCTGTCAACTGCCTCTAAAATGTTTTGACGTGTTACTTGAAAGCCACAATAGCTGAGTCAGAGTAGTTGTTCATTGCTGGGCAACAATTCGGTAAACAGATTTTTGCGACAACGAATATATAAGCAACAATTGAAATACTGTTAGAATGTCAGGATGGAATTATGTAGTGTTTTCTGTTGGGGCCACCCTGAATCTATATAACGAGGATCTCAGGCCAGCTGAGAGAGAGAATTGAGGGAGTCTCTTGGGTCAGCAATTGAAGATGATTGAGAAGGGAATAACTGAGAGTTCAGTTGAGACTTGAAAGTCAGCATGTGATTTGAAGACTTTATGTGTGTAGTATTTGCAGTGAGAATGTTATAAATCTGTGCACCTAGTAAAGACTGCAAAGACTTAGCATGCCCTAGTGATTTGTAGTGTGCAAATCAGCAATAGTGTTATAATTACTTGTAGATATGGGTTGAGTGTGTAAGTGCAATAAACCCAATTCAAACTCTGTATAAAAGTAACAACCTTCCACACACATGACACTATTTTATCAATTATTGTCAGTAATTTAGGTTTTCCTTTATTATTCATGTTTCATCCACTTACTGTGACATCGTCAACTCTGTGTGGGATTGTCGATATTCTAAATGACAACCACGTAAAACTGCAACAATTATATATATTAAATTGTATAAACTGAATTTACAGAATAGCTGCAGAGCTATGTGCAAAGTTCAAAAGTTGGCTGGCCCTCAAAGGGCCACCGTGAGTGTGCTGGCAGATTTTGCTCCCCCGTAGTAGACGGAGTCTTACGACCGTTCAGATGGCCTGTCTGGATGGCGCTGTAGTGCTGCACGCGCCGGTAGAAACGGCTGCCTCGGTCGGTTGCTGGAGTTGCAGAAGCTGCCTGGTCACTAGAGACTTGCGGCCACTACTTTGGTTGCCTGGTCGCTGGAGACTTGCGGCAACCACATCAGTTGCCTGGTCGCAGTGAAGAGCTGATGCCTCTGATGACCAATCGCTCTGAACTAAATGTGATCACTGACAATTGCGAGCTTTGGGCTCCGCCTTTTATATCATGCTTGCTGGGTGGAGCGAAACTTGCAGTTGCGATTGTGAGCGCTGATTGGCCAGCGATGATGCGGAGTTGGGCTGGACAGCGAGTGCTGTATAAATATGAGTGCAATGTCCGGCAATGTGATATTCACTTAGGAGTGAGTGCTGTCTGAAAGATGGGTGAAACAATGTGTTATGTGGGGATGTTCCCACATCTGTAATAAAATTTGATCTTTATGAAGTGAAGTCACATGAGCACTGGAGAAAGGAACAGTTTAACCTGGAGTGAGTCACAGTTATAATGGAAATTTAAATTATTTTTATGTTGGATGTTCTTTGCTTTCTTCTGTGTAGGGAGAATCAACACTTCTAATGTCCTGTCGGAACTGGTGTACTCTCTCTCCAACCTTCTTGTCCTTTTCAATGACTGCATCATTCGTAATACAAGAAGACTGGAGACCGTGGGGTCAGGAGAGAAACTTAAGACTTGGCTCACTGTACTTGACTACTCAGAAGTGTTCATTGAAGTGTCCATGAGGAGGCTGTGGGGTGAGAAGGGAAAGTGGTTCATTATTGTTGTCCTGCAGATCTTCAAGTAAGTAACAACTTGGTGTTTAGCACTAATGGGAAAAGAGGAATGGATAGCACATCTTGTCTAGCAAGAATTGTAAATTGTAATATGTATTTAACCCCCGCATTATTTTACGAGATGTGATAGTGTACCCTGCACCACGAGCTACCCTACTTGTTTATTCTAAGTTGTCCGTTTCCTGTATGGGGTAGTCTAGACCCCGAAATTCTGAGTGAATACAAAATAAGAGGTTCACC